AACGCGGTTTTTTTTAAGTGGTTTCCCCAGTATACTGGGGAAACGCGTCAATTATAGTACCTCCTGGGTGATGTGGAAATCTATTACTAAAAATATTCTCGTCAATGTAATTAATATTCGAAAATTAAAAATTTCTCATTGAAATAATTATTTAAAAAGATGTTAAACATATCACGTTTTAGAAACTGACATTTGGCAGTCAAGAGGCACGCAACGGAGTCGGATTACCGATACGTCGTACCTGAAGCTGAGCGTCGCGCGCTTGGTTACGGTTGTTTAATGACTGGAGTAGGGGGTGATAGGCGGTACCTCGCGAAAATCGGCCGAAATGAGCAGTTCGTGGACAGCTCTGTTCCAGTTAATCAATATTCTCAAATAATGTAACAGATAATATAAAGTTTCAGCGTTCTCGACAAAATATTAGAATCTCATGTCATATTATTTTACTTCATATATAAATTTGTTAATGAAAAATGGATAGACTACAAGAGTTTAGCTCGACGAATACATCAATAATATTCGTCATATTTTGCGTGAAAATGTGATGTGTAATTTTAATCATAACATTAAATTTAAAAAAAAGTCTAACGGCAACAAAAATGGTGTAAATATGCCTAATGATTATGAATATTAACAAGTATAGAACGCATTAAGAAAATTTAACCAACATGTATCGAAATTTACCTTTATATTCCTTGGTGTACATGTACCAAGTGGTTATAATATGAATTTCATATTCATTATATTAATACAATATTATAGAATGTAAGAAAATAATAATTAATAATATCTACCACATAAATAAACACAGAAATATTATCGTAGAGGTGCAGAATATTATATTGCAATATATATAGTAGGAAACATTATATATACATATAGTAAATTCCAGTTTTTACCGTCCCGGACTTTATCCAATGGAACAAATTGGCAGAAATTATAAAAATAACTAATACTTAATTAAAATATATTTATATAAGATATTTATCTTTTTTATAGTCTTTATGAAAAAAGATATTTGTTTTAAATACTAAATTAGTTATTGATCACTATTTTAAAAAGAAACCAATAAGTTTTTTTAATTAAAACAAATTGTTTTCTTGAAAGTAATAGATATTTTTAAAACGAGAACTTCGGAGATACTAAGTTTTATATTAATTTTTAGTTTATGCGGGAAACAATATTTTTGTGCAGTGCTTCCTAAAAGTTTTCTACTTATTTTATCGTTTTAAATAGAAAAGACCAGTTTTTGCCGGTTTTTTTCGGAAAATACCGGTTTTTATCACTGGCATGGTCTTTATCCAAAAAATATGGAATTTTGTGAACCCTACATTAAAATAGGTCATTGCTGGTCTATGTAGGCGTATAGATCAGCTAAGTAGGTGTAAATTATTCTTAAAAGTGTCAAAATAGTACCAAAATTTCGACTCGGGAAGAACCAGAGCGCTAGCTAACTTGAAATTACTTCATTGCGATAATTACGGACGATAATTGCTCCTTTAATCGATGCTCAGACTAGCATAATTTGTTAGCTGTTTCTAGATTGAAAGCGCGAAATAATATACAAAATATTAAACCGAGTGCTTTAATTAGCATTTATCGGCTATTTATTAATACCACTAGTTTCTATATTTTTTACGAAATTTATAAATTAAAATACGCTTGCGAAATTGAATTTTTAATTATTTTTGGACGATGTGCCTCAATTAACCGTTAACCCAGTTGCGTTTACGAAAGTATTAATATTTTACCGTCAATTTAAATAATTACACAATGAGGCGGTGATCGTAAAGACTGATGCCAAATTGCGAGTGTCTGTGCAAAACTCTTGAAATTTTCTGAAGCTCGACGATTCGTAGTTAGCAAAGTAATTGTTCACGTTCGAAAAACTATTTCTAATATCTTCAAAAAGTCGCCGCTCAAATTTTACTCAAATTTTAAATAGGACATCGTTGTTTTATCAATATATATTTATAATTAAACTACCAGAGAGAGAGAGAGAGAGAGAGAGAGAGAGAGAGAGAGAGAGAGAGAGAGAGAGAGAGAGAAAATGGAAGAAAAAATTTTGATGTCTTTGCTTTTGTTTCCCGTTTTATTAAACGTACATGTCGTTCTTCGGCGTCGATCCACGCGCAAGATTTTCAACGGAATGATTTTCTTATGCAAGGATAGCTATAGATGAATATAAATTTTCTCATTACATAACGCGGCGCTTTGCGACGTCTAATACGAAGGAAAAGAATGCGTTGTGTGATGAGACGTTGTCTAAGAATAAATAAACGAAGAACCTAGCCATCGAATCTATAATACATACGCGCACCTAATGACGAATTCGACGGGAACCCGCCGAGCTACTTTCGATGATTTAGAATTCCACAATAGATTCAGCACCTTCTTCGTGACTCTTACCCAAGGCCTTCCCTTTCGAATTCGATCGAACAATCGATTGAAGGTCACGGCAGCGAACGCGAGATGCTCTTAAATTGTACTACACGTCATTGCCTCGCCGCTCCACAATTCTGAATTACATACTTCGAGATATTTCATATTTCACGGCAGGATAAGATTTTTCTTTGTAAAGTATTCACTTTTCAATAGTCTACATTGTTCAGATATCCTTTCTTCTTCATGTCCCAAATTCCTTTTTTAACACTTTGCATAATTATTGCCTTTCAGCAATAATCGAGAATTGCTTTTCTAGAATTATAGGTATATTAATTATCGTGTTAAAATTATAGATTGATAAATCGTATCGATAAATTGTCGCAATGTATCTCGATACCTCGATACTATTACAAATGAAAGTTTGCGTAAACCGGTGAGCGTTGATTTTCATTATTAAACAGATTGTATTCTTGAGACACGTTTGACATTGCGGAATTCGTTTCATAATATTAGTTATACGTTTGCTCCTTTTGAGAATATGATGTGAAACCGGACTTTCTCTCTCTCGACTTCCCTTGAGAAACCGAAGGAATGCTCGATCAGCCGTTAATTCTCAATTCTTAGCCGTGGCCGCGTTAAACTGTTGCAAATCTTCGATACGGATGAATGGGATATTTCTTGTGCTCTCGATATTGTATTAGTCAAATGTTTTTTTTACAAACATTATTACAAGATCATGTCGTAACGACAATCCATCAATTGTTTTCTGAACTAAGTACTAATTAGGAGTGAATTATGTTCGATTGATCGACACTTGGTGAGAAATTATTAAATAGAACCGGATTTTGCGCCGAACGAGTAGTTTACGCTGATGACTAATAGAATAACAGAAATGTCTAGTAATACAGGACAGATTCGTAAGTGACATTTTCGAAAATTTTTATCAAATTGCTTTTATACTGTACAATATTAATTTCGTTAATTATATTAATTGAAAGGTTACAGAATGCACACAAAATACTCGAGTGTTTCTTCATCCGCGTATTGTGCCGTTACTAATCAATTTCTGAAAGTGTATGTCGTATGAATCCAAAATGCAATATGGGGTATTACTCTGCATTATTTATATAAAGTAAAAATGATGATTTTATAATGTCTGCCCTTTTAAATTTATAGACTAGTCCAAATGGATGCAATTAAATATCTGTGAGGTTAAAGTAAGTGCATGCGAGAGGTTTAGACCGTCTAACAAGATAATTGCATACTGCACCGTTCAACATGTTTGACATGGTCAACCGAGAGCTGCGTAGATGTAAGAGAAACGTGAGAAACATGATCTTGTGACACGTCGGTGTCTCTTCCGCCGTTTCTTAGAGAACCAAGACACGAAAGGAGGAAATTAGTGTAACGAAGCTGTCATCGTAACACGCAAGGCGGCAAGACCACTTATTGGGTTAAGGCCGCGGGATGCAGTTTTTTATCACACAATTTCTTACCACAATCGCTCGTTGAGTCTGCGATCTTAATTTTGTAAATTTACCAATAACTCAATCCTGGATGGAAATGATTATTCGTTATAATTGATCGAAAAGATAAACAGTAACGATGTGCAGGTTATTACCACACTTTTTATTTATGAATATTATTTTGGAGATCTTTTAAGCTTATTTATATCTGTTCTCTGTGCAATCATATTATACAGATGTCTAATTTATAATCTCTAAAGTTTTAATATTTTCATCATTTCGATACTATCGATAAAATGTTGATTAGATTTCAAGGTACGCCTATGTTTGCCCGTTCATCATTCTCTTTCCTTACGAATGATGTACAGCAAATTTTAGATTAACGCAGAAACTTATTCGAACACGGATGATAACGTTATCTTATTTTTGTTTCAGACGATGTATTCTGACGGTCTCCTGACGCTCCATTATGGGAAACATCCAGCGACCTTGGCCGCAGAGGTCGGGGCCTGGTACAGCGGGGACCGTCACGTGGACGTGACCCTGGCGTGCGACGATGGGTCTGTCGTAAAGGCCCATCGCGTCGTTTTGGCAGCCGCCAGTCCCCTCTTAGCTAGTCTACTTCGGAACCCTGCCCTGGATCATGTGGTTCACTTATCAGGCGTCCGAAAGACTCAATTAAATCATTTACTGGAGTTTTTATATAACGGAGAGGCATTGATACCGGTATGAATGTTTTAAGATACGCAAATAGTTTAGTTCAACGCAGAATATTATTAATATAAGACTTTCCAGTCGACAGAACTTACACCGTTGAGGGAGCTCTTTGAGCTTCTACAAATTAAGTCAGAGCTATTTGAGCCCAATCAACCTCAAAGTAGTAGTAACTCTGACCCCGAAAGAATATCAACTCCACAGCCCTCAGAAGGCCAGGAGAGTTCCAGTTACGAATCCCAGTACGATGGCAGGTTGGTAGATAAATCTTGTAGTTTCCCAGCGAGAAATGACTCGTCGATTGATGTCGAAACGATGTCGACGAACCATTTCTCACTGGGTTATCGAGTTTCGCTAAAATAAAAAAATAATCAAATAAAATGTTTTCAATCAAACGTACGCAATAACCAAATACGGTTCAATAAATTTAAAAACAAACAATAATAACAGGCTAATGTACGTGTTGAATACATATTGTAAGTTAGACGAGCAATAACGCGGAAAATGTTTCAACCTGAATTGGTTTCAAACGGAGTTTGTTTAAAAAATTGTTGTACTTTTCAGACAGTCCAATAATCCGGCGGACGTTTGTTCAGTCCTCATTAAAACGGAAGGTTGCGAAGATGAACCGGAAGTGGATGTGGAAGGTGTGGAAGGCGAAAGCCTTCTTTCGGATAACAGAGAAAGCAGCATAGAACCTCCTAGGAGAAGGGATAGTTCTGATCCTGTTAATCTGAGTCTCAATTCCGGCACTTCCGTCACAAGTGACAGTTCGCACGATATAATACACAGGTTAAATGACATTGACTATTATATTGCATAATCGTTACGACACTCTTTAAAAGTTATAAGCTATAACATTCGGTATAATCGACGGAGCGTGATAAAATTCTCAAGGTAGTTTTGATCGTAGCAGGCCTGAAAAGCCGATATTTGAGAGGCGAGAATCTCTCGAGGAAGTCGAAGAGAGGAAGAGGCAGTTGGCGGCACGGTTAGCGTTAGGTTTAGAATCCGAGAAAAGAAAACTCGAGGAATTACCAAACCTGCCACCTGCGGAGGCGTACGTCGTGACGCCTCATCGAAAACGAAGGCCAGGCTTCCACAATGCTCCCGCGCAAAACCCGGCCTTTGTACCTTTTCATCCTGGATTCGAAACGCCCAGGAGATTGCAGGCTCCACATCCCATGAGCGTATCGGCACCGCCATATCTGGTTGGTTTTCATTAGTTCCCGTCGGCGGGTTTCAATTAACCATATTACCGATAATAACATACGTGATTAATAGGTTTCTCTAATAAAAAAATGTGTTACCAAATTTCAGGAACATATAGAGACTTTTGGAATAATGTTTATTAAGACTCTTTGGTTTACTTTCAGTGCTACATACTCTTAAAATTTGGTACCACATGTTGCTCAACGCCCTGTAAATTGCCATTTCGATCGAGCGTTATCCTTATTTACGAGGCTTTATTGACACACAGCAGGATAGATCGGCGACCCCGCCATCGCATCGACCGCCGAGTGCCGATCCCGCGTCAGCAGCGACGCTGGAACCACCTTGGACTACTTGGACTCTGCCAAGAGCTCCACCGCCGCCACCGTCAACGGACGCCCCGCCGAAATCCGCCCCTGTCCGAGAATATCGATGCAGCTATTGCGGCAAGCAGTTTGGCATGTCGTGGAATCTGAAGACTCATTTGAGAGTGCATACGGGCGAGAAGCCTTTTGCGTGTAGACTTTGCTTTTCCATGTTCAAGCAAAAAGCTCATTTGCTAAAGCATATCGGTTCAGTGCATCGAAGTGCGACAGCAGCTCCCGACGGTACGATAATGTGTTGCTTCTGCTCATCAGCGAAATTTGTCGATACACAGGACCTCAACAGGCATATCTCGGGGTCGCATAATAATCTGCTGCTCAGCAGGAATCTACATCGCGAATTTACGAATCACGAATAGCGACAAAGTCAAAGACCATTCAGTGCTGAAGAGTGTTCCTCGAGCGCACAATGACAAGTCCTTTGAATAGCTTCCGATCTAAGCAACACTATTAGGATCTCGTTAGGATGTTGCGATCGAGGCACACAATTTTTGTTTAGACCATTTTTTTCAAATTATGTTTCTGCAAAATGAGACATTTAAAATTATCATCTAATCTCCGTTGCTTTTCACGATATAACAAAAGGGTATATCATTAAAATTATCTTTTTCCGCAGTCCTTACCCTTTTTGTCAAAAATGTGATGATATCTGGGTTTCGTGACTACCAGAGTGTGCGCTTGTAATAGTTTATACGGATGTATGAGATCTATGATTTAATACGCTGATTCTGAACTTCTGAGAAAGGCAAGATAAAATCCTCTGCTTTTGATGTGATTTGAATGCACAATTTCTCTGCATCACGCAATCACCACAAATTATAATTATAAATACATATGTATATAATTATATACGTATTTATAATTTAAAAAATATTGATATATATTTATAATTGATATACCGTATGTGTCATATTGATATATTATATATATTATATATTTTCAATCCCTCTTTGTTTAAAAAATATGATCTTTAATAAAATAACCTGTCGATTATTTGTCCTAGACAGGTAATTTCTCAGGTTTTTTGTCGTATTACTAAAAGCAACAGAGATTTTTTACCTAATAATTTTAGATCTTCCATCATATAGTTGTTCGAGTTCCTCTACTTGCAATATGTAAATTTCCAATTTTATATTCATACAAGTTTTTAATTGGATATAATGGAAAAGAATGTCTTTACAGACAGGATACAATTGGCAGCAATGCAAGAGTAACAAACGATTATCGACTTAATATGATATTAGAAAACAAATTTAACAATGGTCTGAATAGAATTTATTTCGAAACACTGCAGTTTATCTTCACATGTTCTGTATTCATTACTATATCATGTTTCAGAAGTTAAGCTACATTTTTAAGACTTTTTTAATCAGTTTGTGAAGCAAATTAAAAAATTGTGTATTACATAATTTAGAATTGTTTGGATGTTTAATACAATTATTGTTACCAATTTTCTGCATTATTGGTGCCTGAATTATAATCTATCCTAGTCATGCAAGCGGAATAACTTACAAAATATTAATTATGTACAAAATTGTCGTATTGAAAATACAGATATTTTCTCGATTTAATTTATATAAAATTCTAAAAAATATTGATTCGGAAAAATATTGAATTGAAGTTTTATAAGCTCATTTTGAGGATAAACGGCAGTAGCACTGGAAAAGGGTCTTTCCTAATAATAGAACGAAAGAGAGAGAGAGAGAAAGAGAGAGAAAAGAAGCGATTTTATATATACATTCAATGTATATCTTTTCTGTATTGAAGTCGCCCAATCGCGACTTTTCAGAAAGTATATTATTATTATGGCTAACAGTAAAGCCAACGGCACACTATTTTTCCTGCTGGATTGTTTACGAGAGCCAATCAGGATTTAAGCCAACGGCACACGATACTATTTTTCCCTACTGGATTGCTTACGAGAACCAATATGGAAGTAAAGTTTTAAGCCAACGGCACACGATACTATTTTTCCCCACTGGATTGCTTACGAAAGCTAATCAGGATTCAGCCTTAAATCACCTAATCTAAAACTTTGCATTCTTATTGGTTCTCGTAAGCAATCCAGTAAGGAAAGTAGTATCGTGTACCGTTAGCATAAGCAATAACTTTGATAAGATGTCTTTGTTAACATTTAACAAAGGTTCGAGTACGTGGTCGGAAATGATACACGTCGAAGACGATCTAGGAAAAGTACAAGGATGATAATGCGAACGAACAGAAAGTCAATTATTGTCAAGCGTCAAATCACGACGAGCTTGTAGGATTGAAGCGCCGTCTCTTTGTCGCGCCTTGTTTGTTGTTATTTTATTTTAATCGCCGCACGTGGCAAATCCGGCAAATAGTCCAATTTACCTCAGCGCGTGCGACTAATCTCCGATGTAAATAATGTTAAGTAGGAGCTAGAGAACCGATTGATTAGAATTTATTTATTTCACTTTATTGTAAAGGGACCAACCGATTTTCCACCGATTTCTGTTTTAGGTAGATCTTAGGTGTCCTGCCCGCCAATCGCCACGAGTTAACTGCTTAAGCAGTCAAAACTGTATGGTTTCGATTGCGGAGAAAGTATTTCGATCGGAATGAGGGAAAGCAAAATCGATTGCGGAAGACGCAGTTATAATGCTTATAAATTGTTGATTCAATTTATTGTACACTAAACATCGACGTTGTTACTGTTCTATCTTAAAAAAATCCGTCTTCCACATTGTCGCATCCCCCTTGTCTTCCTCATTCCCGTCCTGACATTCATTCATGGTACATCCTTCAGTATAACTTAGCGACTCGAGTGCCTTGTGAAATGGGTCCAAATTGGTCGATTGGGCAGTGATTTCATGTGTTCATAGAGTTAAGAGACATAGGCGTTTAAGATGACAATACGAGCTCGCTTAGGACATGGAGGAACGTTAATGAATTTGTGTAGAACGTTTTAAGATTCATTCAAATTAATTCAAACTTTTGTTAAGGCTAGTTAGATAGTTATAAGTAGTAGCTTTTTTCTCTAATTTTATCTATGTTTGGCGCAGGACGTCATTTTTTCTCTAGGTAGGCATTATTATTACCTAAGGTGCCTTGAAGAAGGGCCTCGACCTCTTTTTTGCTTCCTAATTGTACAAAACCACTTCGAAGATGTTCGGAAGTGATGGAGAGAGGAGAAGAAATGAAACGCTCCGAAATTGGTAGATTAATGCGTTTGGAAGTCTATTCTGATCAAAGAATACACATTCCATACAAACGAAGTAAAAGAATAGTGTTTTAATGAAGCGATGTTCAATTGATTAAGTTGTAATTTGTATATACTGAAATTAGAATATGATATAGGCGCTCTATAACGAAAATGAATGTAACTTTGACGGTAGATTCGCTCATGCCAAAGACACGTAAAAAAATTTGTTAAACAATCTGAACCAAATACAAATGCAATATATTTTAGTTTTTAAATCAACATGTATTATTTCGAGCAGCACGTGAGTACTAAACGGCAATGTACTTGAGAATTATATATGTGTTACCGATTGCAACGCGATGATATACACGTGACAGGTTTCTGTACTGTACGCTAATTACAATAAATTCCCGAGTTATGTAAAATAAAGGATAAGGACGTAAATTTATGTATACAAAAGAAATTTATGTTTATAGAAGAAATTTTCTCTATAATCTGCAACTCTCAAAGAGCGTTCTGTATCAGCATCCAAATAAAGCATCGCTTTAGTAGGAAAAAGAAACGGAAACATGGCCGATTAATGTTCTCTCTTCATTACATCCTCGTGTTTCTACTCGCCCTTGTAATCGCGATCGCTTGGGGGGTGGAGGCGAATCGATCGCCTTCTCTTCTCCTCCATTACGACGTTCATTTGCGAGAATGTCGTAACGAGGAGGCGTACAAGAAACGGAGCGGAAAGAGAGGTTGGAGGGGTGGTGTGCGCTCTCGCGAAGGCAAAAACGGCCAGCACAAAACAGTGAACGTAATGTGATACTAAATGATAATAAAGCTAAAGTAATTATTGTTTAGCGTGCGACGCCGCGGCGTTCATGGTACGGGCGCGACTCGTGGTTCTCTGCGTGAGCAAGAGAGAGTTTTGCGATCGCAAAAGAGGATGATATGGACGAAGAAAGATCTTGCGAGTCGCCTGTAATAATGTAAGCAATCAGCTTTTTATCACCATCTTCCCCTTTACCCTTTCGCCCACCCTTATCACGCACTCCCGACATCAGTCGTCCCCTCTTCTCGAGCCGTAAACGCACTAGGATTACGCCTTACAGGTTACTTTACTGTTAATTAATTATATTTAGCGCGCACGCACATCCGGATGTCTCCCTCGAGATCGTGTCCGCGTCGAGGAGAAAAGAAAAGCAAAGATCTCGAATTTCGCTTTCGATCGGCCGAGTTGACTGAAAATGCGGAAGAAGACGATACCTTCCTGATTAGATTAGTCGACATTTTATAGAACCTACAAGTTCTTTGGCTATCGGATGGTAGCTAAATGACAAATAGATTATACATCGTTCAAAACGAGATTTAGGCCCAGTTTCACCAACCGTCGCTTAACTTTGATCTTGGTTTAATTCGTTATTTGTCTTTTTCTAAGAAAGCAGTTGGAAAGAGACAAAGGATGAGTTAAGCTTAATATTAAGCGACGTTGGTAAAACCGAACCTAAGGGATTCAAGGACAATAATTGGCACATAATCTCGTAGAGCATTGACTTTCTACGATTTACATTGTCTTCCGTCATTGATGTAAAGTTAGCGTCTTTTTTTCTCATTCGGACATCCGGGTAAACATTGTAGATTTTAAGCATCTTCCAAGCGGAGCGCGAGCTCCGTGTGCTTTTTTAGTGTTCATAGATTTATGAGAAATAAATTTAAATTAAAAGGAAACTGGTGTACGACAAGATAAAAAGAAGCGAGCGTAATCAAGCTAATATATATATTGACAATTTCCCACTCCCATTCCTTTAGTATCTATTGTAATTTATTTAAACGCGCGATATGAGAATTGCATTTCAATTCAAACATTACTAAGAAAATCTAACGATTCTAATAAATTAGTTGACTCAAGTACCTTGAATTATTTCACAAATTGCCACTTTTTGAAATTAATCATTTTTATGTAGTTAGAAAAAGGAGAGATAAATTATGTATATTCACTTAACGCAATTTACTATTTCTGTCCCATGTAGATGTCTCGAGAATAGTGTATATACAGGGTGTCCCATTCTAACTTGGACAGTAAAATATCTCAAAAACTAAGCTCAGCAAACAAAAATGTTTGAGACAAAAGTTGTATGGTTTTGAGGGGGACATAAGATGGTACCATCGGTTTGACCTCTTTAAATGGAACCCCCTATTGTTTATTATACTATCTCATTTTACAAATTAATATGAACAACTTTTGTCTGAAACATTTTTTTATTTGCCTAATACTTTTTGAGACATTCTAGAGAAAATTTATAACTTTTTCAATGTTTAGTTTACGATATCTCGATAACTGTTTGTCAGAGGAAAAAGTAGTACAAGACTTTTTTACTTGATTTGGTCTCAGGAATATGCTGTTGCAATAGTGCTTCAATTATTGAAAATTTTTGTGTATTGTCCAAGTTAAAATGGGACACCCTATATATATATAGTCACGTTGTCTTTCGACTTCGTTTAAAGATTGCGGTCTTCACCGATGCGAACGAGAATGTAAAATTGAAGCCAAAGAGTTAATTATTGTTTTCGCGAAACGCGCATAGCGGTTCAATTCGGGGAATCCTCAAAGAATCCGCCAAGTGAGGCGCAAGAGACGTCGTCGGGTAACGGTCCGAGGACTTCTCGGTTTTGTATAAAAAGAAAAATCACAGCGAGACCCGTTACTAGTGGGCTACGTTCCAGCAAGACGCCGTATGCCGCGTACATCCAATCTCGACGGTGTCGATTGCATAATTACGTCGCGAGAAACGTCAATTTCTCGTTTTGTCCTGCCGAGAAGAATCGACCTGCCCCGCAGTCGAATGTAAATAAGCGTTTGTACGAGGACCAGATTGCTGGAACCGGCTCTACAAACGACTGCAGAAACCGGACAAACATTTGCCTTTCATAATCGAACGCTCGGGGACGTGTCTTGATTGTAATTCACGCGTGATATAAGCAGTTATGATATGCATAATAAAAACTTGTACGAATATAGAGACATTAATCAAATAGTTTTGTAGCAACGACAGAAATAGAGAGAACAAGAAAAAACGAGTTGAAAAACTATTTGATTTAATTTGACGAAGAGAACCAAAAAAACAATGGTCGAAACGTTGTGAGTTTGAATATTAAAATTTGCCAGACTTGGTCAAGTAATCTTCTGAAATTTTTAAAAAAACTATGCTGGTCGTTAAGGTCGTAAAAACGAAAAATATAGGCAATGTGAGCCGCCACCAGATCGAAGGTGATTAATGATATACAAAAGTCTTGGTATAAAAATATATTAGAATCAGTGTATCATAGATCGTTGTACACAACACATCAGTTTATTATATACATCTCCATCGCTCTTTCCATACCACTATACAACCCTTCGATACAGAAAGAAGTATTGGCCGTTGATATACTTTAATCAGAAGGCGCGATGGAATGTAACCATGTAATGAACAAGCCAACTGTTACGCCATTTTGACCTAAATAAATTATAAGTGACCATTTAATACTTTTATATATACCGACTCCCCTTTCATACGACTCATCGCTTTTTATAATAAATTTTAGACTAAGTATTTTCACTTTATAACGTATTGCTGAAGAGGGTCACATTCGTAGACCGAAACGTTCAATGTTATCTATTTTCTAATATATTTTTATACCAAGACTTTTGTATATAATTAATCACCTTCGATCTGGTAACGGCTCACATGGCCTATATTTTTCGTTTTTATCTTAACGACCATAGTTTTTTAAATTTAGTTTTTTTATTGGAGCCTTATTTATATTATTAATATATTGTATTTACGTAAAACAATCATTTTGATGCATGCGAGTATTGCTGATCAATTTTATCACGTATCTCAGGTGTGTTTCATTAATCGAATTTTCGTGCGTGATATATTATCAAAAGTAAAGTAATATATTTTAATTACAAAAAACATTAACATAAAATAAGGATTTATTTTAACACATGTTCGAAGTAACGTAAAAAGAAAAACGAGAAGCCTCTAAAACGGGAGTATTCGCCAAGATTTTAAAAGAGATCGGCGTTCACTCTTCTCTAAAAGTCCTTAATTAAGGAGAGTATAGATCTAAATTGAAGATACGGAATCCGAATTCTTCTAATCCGTTAACTTCGGATTTAATCCAAGAAATCGTTGGCATTCCACGGAGTTGATAGACCTCGCTCTAATGCTGTTCCCGTAGGGTATGGCGTCTGCACTCGGGAAGTACCGTTCGTTCTGAAGTTGCATAATGGATCTTGCATTTCTGGTTCTTGGTCGCGTCGCCGATGGACTTGCCAAGAGATTCGTAGGCGCATCATTGACCAATGACCACTGTCTGCTTGGCCAGCGTCTCGGGCCACGGAGAGTACCGTAAGAGTACTAACACGTGGGTAACACAGAGGGGGTAAGACCTCTCGGTCAACGCTCCTGCTTAATGTATATAAAGGTTGGAGCCTCGATGGGCGTTCGAGGCAGATCGTCATCAGACATGTTCGGGAAGATTATCCTAGTACTCTCGGTTCTGGCCTGGGCCAGTGCCCAGATTCCTAATCTGGGCTTCTGCCCAGAATACATACCCATGGCGAACTTTAACATGCAAAGGGTAAGTAACTTAACTATTTCAATTTGCTTGTTTTACAGGGCTTAAGTTTATTCGCAGTAACTTAATATTATGCATGGTTACAGAATTATACCGCAATTGTGGCAATACTTTCCGTTATCGAACGAATGTCAGTGAAATTAAATTTTCTCTTACATTGTAGAATATTTGTATTGTCTGCATCATTGACGTTTGATCAAAAAATTAATAGTAATTTAGATTCCTTAATAATACTAATATTTGTTAACTTTGCGATTAATTGATGTTTAATTTTCTTGCAGTTCATGGGTGTTTGGTACGAAGCCGAAAGATACTTCCAACTTAGTGAAGTAGTATCTCGATGCGTTATGACAAATTATACCAGAGGCAGCGACGGCAAATATCGCGTGAGCAATCAAGTCACGAATCGTTTGTAAGTATATATATATTCCATGTAACTCGTTCGCCAAATTTGTTTGAAAAATATACATTTTTTATGGGATTTCATCAATAATATCTCCGGCATTTAGCACCGGCATAAAGAGGATACTGGATGGTGAAATTAAGCCCCCAGCTTCCAAGGCCGAGGAGGGTAAACTTAACGTCAAGTATACTACAATTCCACTGACTCCTGAGACCAAGTACTCGGTACTCGAAACGGATTATGATTCGTACGCCGTGTTATGGAGTTGTCAAGGTATCGGCCCGGTCCACGCACAAAATGCATGGGTCATGACGAGGGAACGAATACCGTCCGGAAAAGTGCTCCAAAAGGTAAGTTGGGAAAATATACATTAACGTAAAATAAAGAAAAACACGAGTGGTAAACTGCTGAGGGCATTGTGGTGTACAGATTAGAGGCATTACTCTGCCTTTATTCCAACCTAAAAAGCAGTATCTCCATTTTTTTATCATTGTAGTTAACTTTCTATGTTTCTTAGAGAAATATCCATTGTCCTGGATGACCAAAATGGAGATACTGCTTTTTAGCTTAGGACGGCAGTAATGGGCATTACTAGGCATTTTTGGGCATTAGTTAGGGCATTAGACCTCGCTGGGGCTTTATAAAGATAAGATAAAATAAAGTGACAAGATAAAGTAGTGCCCACTGAGCATTAGTAGGCATTGGTGTACATAATTTCGGTCAGCGGTTTACTCCTCGGAGAAACATTAACACGTCTCACACGTTTTAAAATTATTACTACAAAGCTAATATTACAACATGTATACTCCAGAATTATTGTCATTATTAGTTTGAAGTTTAAAATCTTATTCCAATTGCAGGCTTATGGCGTTCTTGATAAATACAAAATATCAAAAACGTTCTTCGTGAAAACCGATCAGGCGGATTGCGCTTATTTGGACACGCCACTGGAGGACGAGTCCGAAGAGAAGCCCACCGCGGAAAAACCCGTCAAGGAGAAGCAAAAACGCAAACCACAAGCAGTCGAGTTGAATGAGAACCTCAGATCAGCCATCGTGCAGAATAACGCTGATACTGAGATAAAGGCGAAGGAAGTAGAAGCCGGGATTACAGACGAGAAAGCGTCCTCCGATATCCCGAAGATAATGGCGGAACCTGCGAAGCTCGAGCATCCTATCGAAACTATTCCCGAGCGGATCTTGAAGATTGCAGAGGCGGTAAAGGAGGAGAACATCGCGGAAAACCCGAAGGAGAAGAGCGAGCATTCGCAGGAGACGGAAGCAACTGCCTAAAAGTATCGTTTAGCTAAAAAAAAGTCTGTTAATTGGCGCTAGCGGGGACGTATTCAAGGGGATTTTTGACGTCTTAGGCTCGTAGCGGTTTTCTCATTGAGAACCAGTCTCGCTTAAGTATCGCAAAATCATTAATCACTGTTTCATTGACACGTCGGCGTCTTCGTCGTCGTCGTCGTTTGAGGACATAGGGTTGGCATAGCGCTTTGTTTTATAGGCTTACGTACAAATGTAAAAAAAAAATAAAAGAAATAAAGATAAATAAAATTGTTATAGAAAACGTCTTAATAAAATGGCAATTCGTTTGGTTATTTCTTCCGTTTCTCTGCGCAGATACAATAGCGTGCATGTAAAATTAATTGCTAAATACTTTGTGATCGTAATAATTTAATTGTAAATCAATGCGCATAGTTATATGCGCATAGTTATATGCGTATCTGATATCTGATTAAAGGAGAACAATATTTTTGATTAATGAGATGTAAGAATTCATTTTTCCGTGAGTTGTGACAATTTACGAGCCGTGAGTAGTCGCGCTGTGTGAGAGAAAATGCAGTTCTTAAACTCTTGGAAAGTCTTTTTAGCTTTCGCATCACGATGTGACGCCAGTAAAAGCTAAATGTGTCATGGCGTTTTCATCGCGAACACAAATATAACCAGGTCACATAACGGATCTATTTTTCATATCATCATTAATAATTTTCAGTGATAATGATGTCGATAATGAAGTTAATAATAACTAATCAAGGTCGATGTGACGCTAAAGAGTAACGATCAAGTGTTTTATGTTCGCGCGCGAGTATAGATGAAATAGAAATAATGAGAAGCTCAAGTGTATTTTTCTTTTATTTAGAAATATAGAAGATTATATCTCCATTTTTTATCATTGTAGTTAACTCACTTTCTATGTTTCTTAAAGAAATATCCGTTGTCCTGGATGGCCAAAATGGAGATACTGCTTTTTAGTTTAGGACGGCAGTAATGGGCATTACTAGGCACTTTTGGGCATTAGGCCTCGCTGGGGCATTATAAAGTAAGATAAAATAAAGTAACAAGATAAAGTAGTGCCCACTGAGCATTAGTAGGCATTGGTGTACATAATTTCGGTCAGCGGTTTATTCCTCGTCTGAATAGATATATATTTTTTTTCAGACGTGAAAATCTTGTAATATAAGAATAAATCTTTTTCAACAAATTACCTCTGTTTTCAAATGTGCTGCATACGTCATGTTCAATAATTTACTAAAATTAACTTGGACAATTTCGACATCTCTAAATTAATTAATTGTACGTAAGCCTATAAAACAAGTAAATTCGCGAATAGTTTGATGCATAATGAATGCTATATGAAACCGACAATCTATTTGTCATAAACGTACATACAGAGCGAAGATTTTACGCCATTAAAATATTATATTCTTAAGGCATTCTATAATGTATTAACACGTATTCATTGACGCGCAGATATTTTTTCTCGCGTCAATTTCTATCAGTTATTACTGCAAAATCCACGCAGGCGCGATCGAGTGATTTTTAAAAGTGGTCCATCGCACCCGATTATAAAATGACCCATGTGCCTTCGAAACTGTCGATCATCTATTGGTTAATGGCAAATTCGAGCCGGGTTTCTTGAACCCCGGGTACCGTTACTGACCTACTAACTGTCAGTACTCTGCCAAACATATCCAGTCAACCTTCGCGGGTCCGTCTCCGACGAGCACGAAGCGGACGGCGGAGCAGGAAGTCCAGTCACCTACGAACGATCCGTGTGAGAAGTATCGACTTTAATCCTCGTCAATCTCGCTAAAATTGACATCCGACATATTCTCTGGATATCCGACGGTCAAGGCTACGAGGTGAGTACCGTATTTAGATCGAGCAAGATTGTATTGCCGATATTGCATTCAGGCTATTTCTCTCTCGTCCTTTCTACTGAATCGAATTTCCTAACAATAAATTGCTCGCTGAACTACTTGCGCAAATAACCTCTTGTCAGGTAAATTAAAGAGATCGGAGAATTAGAAATCAGGTCGATCGAGCTTAAATAATTCGCGTCCATCAAATTTTCACATAGAATTTTCACAGCTTGACGGTAAGAAATTTTCGTGTCAACGTGAATTTCAAATTGCTAGCATGTGCTGTATATTTCTGTTTAATAACTTAAGTTTAATAACGTAATTAACTAGGAGAGCGTTCCGTTTTTCCATGATGCATAATTTATCCTTGTTATTTGCTAAATGTTAAAGAAGGATAAATGATGCATTATATGCACATCATGCATGCGTACGATAAAAAAAAGTAAAGATGATACTCGAAACGAATTAATGCTTCATTGTTGGCAATCCTGAAAGATCGTACACAAAGTGAAATCAATACATTATGCAACACGAATGATAAAAACTAGACCAGTGAGCAAAACCTATTATTAAAGGTTATGAAGTATGTCATGCAAAACAGTCCCGCATCGTGATATCATCAATTTAGAAACGAACGTACTTGATAATGCGATATAAAAGAGCGCGCGCTCGTTTCTCTTCAGTTTCTTGCGCGATTCAAAGTTGGTTACTGTGTGCTTTGAAAACACGAAAGGAGCACAAAGAAATATTCTCAAAGCGCCGAGGGCGACGTGAATTGATTCATACAATAAACTCTTTAAGCGGTGCGCCATCACGATAACACGAGGCGAGTGTTATTGTAACGGTGATCATCTGGGAGAATTTTCTGCGATCATTGACTTTCCGGTATGCATAAGCGCTCTTTAATATTTCAATATATAAAATATCCCTTACAGAAATGTAGCAACTGGGAACGAAAAGAGCACTGAACAATACTAGAGTTCAGTAATTGAATTATTGGACGTAGGGTAAAGTACCCTTATGGACGCGGGGAGTTAGCTCTGAAGGGTGAGGGAAAACTATCGTCGCGACCATTTTGGTGCCGGATATTTAGTGTCTATTGTCACATCGTAAGGCATTACACGGCGTTAACTAAGACCATTGCAATAATTTCTATTTTCCGATTCCAAGTATTAATTTTCCTTAAATATTAAGGTTATGATTGTTTGATATGTATATACGAATGTTTATTCGATATGTATTTACGCATGTTTATGCTATTATATTTATGAATTAAGTGACGTCAGAATAATGGAGATCAATGATAGCAGAATTTCGATATAACGTTTCTGTTCAAGTGCGCGCGCACGATTAACAGATATATAAAATACTACCGTGTGAATCGGCATTTGTATTGAACTTCATTTGGTGAAAATCCGACAACGTTATTATTGTACACTTCTTTCTTCTTTATTTTGAAAATTTGACCTATTTTATATTTTTATACATATATAATAAATAATCTGTGCGTTCTGTTTCAGAGATGACTATGTTGCGAATATTTGTAATCCTTATCATTGCGAGTGCAGCGATGGCGCAGGTGCCATTCTTGGGTACGTGTCCAAACTTGGAAGCAATGCAAAATTTCGAACTTGACAGAGTGAGTATCGAGATAATTCATGTAAACGTATAAATTATTCTGAGTCTTTTTTTATTTGTTGGTAATTTTTAAAATAGAGGAAAGTCATTATGAGTTAGGATCCTAATATTGGATAGCGGGGTTTCTGTTAAATTAATAGGCATCATCAGTTGATTCCACCATAAAATTGCCCTTGAAGTGAAATCTGTTTAGTGGAGAATTCATTGTTAGATCATCTTGCGAATCTTTGCGAAAAAGGACTTGTGATTGAATTTGGATGTTGAAAACTTGCTATCTCATATTAAAAACCTATCTTATAATAGAGGACTTTCCTCTACATTATTTTGTATATAAAATTATAAAAAGTTGTTTCTTCCCTGAGTAAAATTATAGTTACAATAATCATTTCTAGATCAAGACAGAATCGAAATTTTATTGTAACTGATAATTATATTTAACAATCAACATTTAAATTTAAAGTAAAACAAGATTTAAAGTTCATTTATATTTTAAAGATCTCTTGCGCATTTAAGTTAAAAGTACGAATACTATGAATATCTTTCTTCTCTAGTATTTAGGCAAATGGTACGAAGTCGAGAGGTATTTTGCGTGGTTTGAATTTGGTGGAAAATGTGTGACAGCTAATTATAGTATGAATGAGAACGACTCGGTGAAGATCACCAATAAACAAATTTCCTCGTTGTGAGTATAACATGCAATGTTATCCGATTCACGGAGTAATTTTAAACCATTAAAAGCGAGAGAGGCAGCAATGCGGGATAAAATGATCTCATCGCTGAACAATTATCCACTTGGTAAAGCTCTGTTCTCTTGCGCAGAACTGGAGTCGCAACGAGTATCGAAGGCATTGGAAGGTTAATTGGCAGATCCGATGATCCTAAATTGTCTGTCACTTTTCCATCCTTGCCATTACCGTTCGATGCACCTTATTGGGTTCTAGACTCGGATTACAATTCATACGCCGTGGTATGGAGCTGTACAAATCTCGGAGTCCTCAAGTAAGTTTGCATGCCGAAAGAACGCGAGAAAAATATGTAATATGTATAAGAGCATTAATAGGTATTTCCTTAATGCCGCGTAAGTTTGAATTTTTATCTAATATAAAGCTGATGAGTTTTTCTAGTGTTCTTAAATTACGTTCAATATCAGTCTTACATTGTTATATTACTAAAACTAAATTTAAAATTTTACTGAACTATTAATTATACATTTATGCCGTAAAGGCACATTTTCTATGTCTGCAAAATACCGTAGAGCAAAATATCCCTAAGATATTAGACTGGATCACTAAGCAATTTTGCTAAATTGTTGAAATTATGAATACATTCTGTTTGCAGTGTACGAAACGTTTGGATTTTAACGCGAGAGCCGAAACCGCCAGTCCCAGTTGTAGAGAAGGCTTATCAAGTTATCGACAAGAACAACATTAGCAGAGCGTTCTTCATTCGTACAGATCAGAAAAATTGCCCGGCCTCGAATTAAGGACGACTTATGGATCTCTACAAAAATACGCGGGGGAAAAAATGTATCTTTAGCGATGCGCCATTGTGCACGACTACTTGAATTGTGAATTAGAATATTTATCTCTAGTGATAATGCTGATGCTGGCTTTGCTCACGATTACGCAAGTATGATTGTGTAATGAGTACTGCGAATACGCTTGAATTAATAGGATTGTTGCGGATACATTTATTTTCATTCCAAGTCATAATACTGTATAGTTTCAATGTTTAAAACTTGCATTTCTCTCGCTCTCTTTCTCGTGACTGTGATTTTAACGCAATATATGTGGAAAATTGAACATGCGGTTTCGCGACAATGAAATTTAATTTATTTATTAAACTTCTATAATTTATTAATATATTTATTAAACTTCAATCCAATTTAATTTAAATAATTAAAATTTAATTTAAAGAGATGCTGAACTCTGTTACATTAGAACGCGTCATTATAAATACATAATGAGCATAATTATGTATGTATAATTATATTGATAACATTTTGACCGCGAGATACGAGCTAGTTTGTACATACTTGTCCGTTTTATTGCGATACTTAAATGAGAGTAACAATAAAAGAATATTTTAAATTAAAAATATACAAATTACCATTAGATATTTCATATTAAAAATATCTGAATAATAGGTGATCTTGTGGTCAAACTGTTAAGATGCAAACGTACACGTTATCTACATTTGTATGTCAACGGTAACAGCTATATCTATATTTTATATTTTTTATACGCTCTTCATGTTAATCTAATTTATTATGTGTATTTATTTATTTGTTGGCAACATTACGACTAAGGCTGACCTATCGATAATTGCGCTAATTCTGCATTTTGTTATGAAATCTGTGAATAAGTCATTTGTACTTCTCAGGTCGAGTACTTCTAATATCTCGTTAACTATCCGTTCGTCCTGCTGTTTTATAATTATTCACTGTTGCATCTTTTTTATACGCATTTAAAGGATGTATATAAAAATGGGAAACTTTAAGGGAAAAATAAAAATCCACTTTTTTGTTGACGTAACTTTTATAGCGTACGGCTACATATTTCTCGCGTCGTTCTTGCATAAGTGGATTTTCATAACTGGTTCGCGATGTGATGTTTCGAAACATATAATGATGCTCAATCATCGACGATTGGTCATGTAGCATTCTTCAATTATCTCGGGGCCCATCGGGGCCCACTTGTTACACACGGAACCTTACCCTTGGCTGCGAAGGGTCTTTCGCCAGTAAGATTCCAAGCTCTTCTCAGCGAGTGCCACGCTCCGTTGTAAGATCGCGCGGTGCACGTCGGAGAAGTGAAAAGCTCCCTTACCATAATCAACGTATCCGCCGGTAAGAAAAGATCTCGCGAACCAGTTATGAAAATCCAATTATGCAAAAACGACGCGAGAAATATTTAGCCGGCCATTAAGTTATCCGCGTAACGATAATTTACGCGCAAGCGAGCACTCGCTTTGTAATATCGTATGCATAATACATGCCGCGATGGCGAGTACCGGCGTTTATTTATCGCCGGGAAGGGACGTTAATAAACGGTCACGTAAAAAGTTTCATTAATGGGACGGTAAAAGTTCCGGGTGTGGTAATCGATCGCGACAGGCACCGCGTCGTTAAGTCGCACAGGGGTTCGCGCTGTATACGCGATGGTCCAGATCAAGCGACACCCGGACCCGCCCAGGCACCCGGCGCGGCGGTGTCTCCCACGTTAAAAATGCGGGAAATGACCGTGGCCGAAATAAATCGAGCGGCGACCGACGAAAACACCGTGCGCAACAATACCCTTAAATTAAACAAATAACGGCGACGGGGTGTGGTCGCGTGCGAGACGGGCCTTCGGGCATTGTCACGTGCCATCCGCGCAAACAGAACACTATTCAATTGCGAATCTGCAGGATATGTCATCAGGGATGCATTGTGCATCGGGAGAAAGAGGAGTCGCATGATCCCACGAATCACCCCGCAAAAAATGTATGAATTTCTCTTTTCCATCTCCGAGTGCGCGGATCAGAAATTCTGGCGCAAATGTGACGTTAACAGAAACATATGTAATAATTGTGCACACACGCGCACACACACGCGTATGTATATTATAATAAATTTCAAAAATAAGAAAATATTTCATTTGACTGAGATACAAGATTGATTTTTATTGAATTTTTGTATCTGTCAAAAAACTTAAATTAAGCAATCATAGAAAACATTGCATATGCCAAGTTGTGTATTTAAATAAATTTAAAATAGAAGTTTATATACATATATATATATATATATATAGAATTATACGTTTATTTCAAGATACAGAAAGCCTTATTGCGTGCACGAGATGGAGAGAAACTGAAATAATTCGAAGAAATTCTTTGCTCTTTTAGTGAGTATCCGAACGTACTTAAATTTCTGAATCTCCTCTTTAATACTCCGCTGTACGAGCCTCACTTTTTGTTCCTGTTTAGTTCGTTTTCTTCTCTTTTTACTCGCATGGGCCGAAAATTGGCGTACTCTCCTGCCGCCGAAGACTCGTTTCCGTATAATCGTCGCCATCGCTTGTAATAAATTAAAACACGGTAGAATCTAAATCAAGACCTAGAGGCGAAGACTCTGCTAGGAGCCGAGGGGACCCCGTCCGAATTTATCTCGTCGTTCTTCTCTCGAGAACTTCTTTTACGCACGAAATGAAGCAAGGAGGATGGGGAACGATGAGACAGAGGGCGGAAAGGGGGATGCACGATCGGACTCACGGCGGCCAAATCTCGGCGTGGGCCCTACGGTTCTCGAGGGGCACGGGCAGCGGTCCCTAATAACAGGGTACACCGAGGCTAAACAAACATACACGCCCCTGGCATCTCTCGCTGAAAGAGTGCACGGGAAAGAAATGGGAAAAAAATGCTCTTTCGACACACCGTGCAACAATTTGAGAGTGAAGTGTATTTACTTATTTCGCATAATTTAAAGAAAAGCAGATATTCTATCGCGCACCTGCCGGTTGCTACTGACTTCTCGTCTCCGGTTTGAAAAGCGGACGAGAATTCTCGAGAATTTAAGAGGATTCGAGACCGAGAAGGTATTTTGTCGTAGTGCAGCTGCACTTACAATTTGAATAAATAAACTATTCCGGATTATTTGTAGAAAATTTGTTTAATATACTTTGCGATACTAAGTTCTTATTAAAGAATTTAGTCGAGTGTTAATTTCAAATTCAGGAAAAGAAAGAATAAGGTATTATTTAAACATGTGATTGTTCTATGGAAATTATTTATGGATGCAATATTCTTAATTAAAACTGCTATACGTCTGATGTATTTAATAACTGCCCGAGAAAAGATGGTGAGATGTTTCAAATTTCAATTTAGTATTTAATAAGTCTCGTTGAGATTAAATACAGTTACAAATTAAGTAACAGAAATGACATCAAAGGGAGAGGATGCTCTTTCGTAATTGAAGCGAGCCCGTGATAATAGGACTCTACCGTGCAGTAAGGAACTAAACGACATTTCGTAAAATTCTACGTTGCATGTAATTATAAACGATACATTGTGAAACATCTCAATGCGTAAAAACAAGTATTACCGTGTATCTCATGGACACGTCATATGTTCAATGTTGATATAACGGGGAGCCACAGAGAAAAGGTGTTAGTTTAAAAGGTTTAAAAGGGAGGTATGCGCGTCTCTTTAGAAACATCGCGTATTCTGTCGTAACTAATATCGAAATATAAAAAAAAGTGCATCAAACGTTCGACTTGGTTTCTTTTTAAAGAGCGAGAGAAACGAGAGTTGTTTGCGTTTCACCCCAGGGTGGTCCACGTCGAAGGACCCACATCATACATAGCTGAATTTAATAACGAACGTTCGGAAGGCATCCGAGCGTCTGTAATTTCACCTAAATAATGCATCCCATATAATTAGCCAGAATGAGTGCTCATATTTCTTATTAGCACTGCGCTGAGTTACTCGCGCCGTTTTAAAAACACTACTGTATAAACTTAATATCTCGATCGTGTCTGGAAAATGTTACGAAATTTTCATAGAGACGTGCATTAACTAATTATAACAGGCATTGCTCCGAACGATCTGTTTCGTATCGCGACAAACCTCTTTGTGCCGCGTCGCGGCGCACAGATTATTCATCGTTTTCGTAAGCTAGATGAAACAAGGAGGTTAAACATGGAGAGGTCGTTTCATTTGTCTTTAGCTCATGTTAAAGGCTGGCGAGGGACGCGCGAAACGCGAGAGAACCAAGGTTAAGTAAAAAGCCGCGAAGAAGAAGAAATGTGCGCGGAGGAAGAAGTGCGGGGAGACGAGGAGGAAGAAGACGAAGAAGGAGAAGATGAAGAAGGCGAGGACGAAGGTAGATGAGACAAGAGGCATTCTGGTTTGTGGGCACAGCCGCTGCCTGCAGCCCACAATTATGATAATAGCCCCTGAGTCCTGAGTCTTGTTAGGCCAACGTGCAGCCCCAGCTCTTTTATCTATATCTTCTTATTTTGAGACTCATGCTCCCCCGCCCTCCCTCGTACTGCGGCTGCTCCTACTTTCAACCCTTTACGTCCTCGCGAGGTCAGATGGGTTCAAGCTGATCGATTCGCCGGGCGAAAAACTAAATCCGATATATATCCCATCCTTTCTCGAAGCGCTCGCTATTCTGCGCACCGAAGATACCTATCGCGCGGCTCCGTTCCGAAAGGATTCGAATAACTATGCTTTATGTCTCTCCCACAAATTCTGCAGGATATCGCGTGTCTTGTTGAGATGTGTCGTATCGCTTCAGGTATCGGGTGTACGAAATGAGAAACTCCCCGAGCTCGGTACGTGCTTCTCCTTTGCCGCATTCGTAAATTTTTGCACTTTGATATCTCGCGGCATTGCGAAACAGCTGGACGAAATAGAGCGAGTCCGCCACGGGGAATTGTCAGGCGGCCGTCAACGTACATACGCCGGTGTCTGCAAACGTTGTAAAAGGCGGTGGCAAACGGTGCGCGCGTTAATCCATTTTCAGTGCTACCGTCTGGTCTTTTGAGCGCCGCGGAAAGCGTTAATTGGAGGCCGCGCCGCGATCGGCGCAAAGAAAGTCTTGTAAAGCGGAAACCGCGTGATAATGCGCGCGGCTCTTTCTGTCTTTCTCTCTCGCTTTCTCGGCGAACAGACGGGGACCTTCTTCTGGAATACCGGCGTATGCGCGTCTGCACCCCGTCGCGTCGACCGCGATGTAAAAGCCGCGGTCCAAAAGTGCACTACCTTATTTCTGCTAAAAGCCGTTCCTTGTGAAGCGCATAATCGCGTTTCCTTAATGATGTACTATTACGATGGCTGTCTAGAGAATGAGATTCTCAGAAGGGACGTTCCTGCATCTCAAGATATATTAAAATGGAGTGTCTCTCGTGGGGATTAATTCGATTACTTTCAGCGCGTAAGACGCGATATCACGTTGGCGAATAAATTCTTTCCTTCTGAATGAATCTTCTAATTATTACCACGGAAATACTGCGGCTGAGCGTACTTTGTTAAATGGGAGCGGATAAGAAATCGTATTTACGGCATAAATTGTACAATTATGAATTAATCGCGAATTGAAAAATACACATATAGAGACTGAACGATGTGGTAAGTGAGACCCAAGTCTCACGATATTTTCCAGAAGCTGCTACTAGGATAAATTCGGATAAACCGAGAGTTTGGCCGACGACTGCTAGATATACGACTGTTTGTACAGATTAGAACCGACAAAGGGGTCCGTTCTCTCTTCTTAACATTGCCTTGATTTAAACGAAGCGTCCTGTATTTGCAGTAGATTAAACCGCGCTTCGTGCCGCGCGCTGCGGTGTCTTGTTTATGATATCAGCTGTACCGCATTGTATATTGTATTCACGTGCCGACTAGGCAAAGATATCTAAACTTAGACGCAGTCATCGGGATTGTTATAATTCGCGTGTTCTTTCTAAACGGTGATTGATCTTCATTTTCCGTCCCTTATTAATGAGAAACTTGCAAGAACAGCGGAAATCCCTCAGCTCACGAAGCGGATACTTTTTCGCGAAGGCAATCTAATTAAAAGTGGGCACAATTGTAATCGTCTCTCGAATTAAATGGAAAAAATAACTATTTATCGCGATAGCAACTCACTCGCTGTAATTTATTTAATATATATAAATAAAAGCTCGTAAAATTTGATTACCGCACAGCTCTAATTTAGGTTCACTCGTTCTTATTAAGCTCGTATGAACCCTCATACCGATACAGTTTTTTAACTTTTATAGTAACGTGTAATTCGTACCGACGTTATGATATCGAGACGATGAGCAAACAAGCTCCCATCGACGATAAAATATTAAACGGTAACTCATGTAACTGTATAATCGCTGATATTAAGTTAATAGCCGCACGAGGATGATGCGGACCAAAAGGAGAAGGTGCACGTAAGAACGCGTCGTAAACGAATTTGCCCATCGTCGCGTATCCACCGACCACCACCAGTGGTCAGGTCGGGCCCGTTAACAGACAGAATCCTGCGCTGTCTGGACCACGCTGTACGGTAAGAGAGTAATCAGCCGGACTTTTTTTCCCTCATTTTTCCCGCCGCAGTTATCTCCCGGTTTTTATGCCGCACGAGCTTTTCAATCAACCGCGAATTTGCAAAACGAGCCTCGGCACCCCTCCCTACGCCACCCGTCCCTCGTTCTCCCACCGCTCCGTGCATCGTCCGGTAATAACGGCGTTCGGTAATCAAGCACGTCCTGGTAGACAGCAAGAAGGAGAGGTGGACCCGTAAGACGATCGTGATTCGACGCGGCTACGTGGGCGTTCTCCCTATCCGTCGTCGATCTCGAATTATGCAAATGAACGATGGATATTCCAATTGCCCCCGATTCCTCCGGGATGAAATTCGAGAGCACCTCGTCTTCCACATTTTGCGCGCTCGCAGCGGGCACGCATGCAGATTTTTCTTTTTCTTTTTTCAGTAAAATAAGCCGTACACACCAATAATAATCCAAGTGGAGAAAACGGTGAAAAGTATGATCAGGTGCGTGGCTCGTCGTCAACAATTTGACACGTCGAGCATTCACTGCTAGTACACTGTTTCTCCACAGTCGGAACGTATGATTTATAATCTTGATTTCTGCATAGCAATTTTGTCCAGATATAGGAAGACATAACGTATGGAAGTAGATCGACAAGATTGATCGACCACTAAAACTAATGTGCTTCTCCTGCGAGTTGGTCGACGCTCCTGTGTTATAAAATTATAAAACTGCACCGGCAGATATTTTTCGATAAGAAAAATAAAAAGGGAAATTTAAATTTGCGGTTACGTAGTCAATATCGTATGCAAAATACTTGAAACATCAGTAGGATTCGATTTATCTAGGGGAAGATTGAATCATGTTGAAAGAATTAAAAAAAAGGCAATAAAAAAGCTTTTCACTTTGTTTTCTTTAGCGATTGGCACCGGTTAATTGGATAGCAAGGTATTATACGCCCCTCGCGAGGGAAAAGAAGAAAACGAAGTGGCCTGCCTGGCAGAATGAGGCGCGACTTTCAACTTCAGGTAACACGTGACGGGGCCTGTTACCGAAGTACCGTGAATAAAGGTCCTGAAATTTATTGCCCGCGAGAGTGCTGTTATGCTTTCGATTTTCCACGGTTAACAACACCAATATCGCAAGCGGGATGACTATAAAAGATGTAAATATCAGTTGACAAGAGAAATATCGATTGGCCACATTATTTCTCGTTGACATTTCGATACGCCGCCTGAAAGATGTCGTTCTTTTCATATATTAGTGATATTTCAAGAATCGTCGATTTTGTTCGGACTGTTGACACGCATATACGTTTGCCAAAGGATTTCCCGCGCTAGACCACTCGATTGTCATTGAGGCCTAGTTTCACCAATGTCGCTTAACTTCAAGCTTGTTTAATTCGTTCTTTCTCTCTTTCCGACTGTTACATTAGAAAGAAACCGGGTCCAAATGTTTCCGAATAAACATAAATAGCATAGATCTTGCCGGCCAATGTTCCACGAAAGTTCGGAGCACGTTGCATGCTCTTCGCGTAGATAAAAATCGGTGATTAGCGACAAACGGCAGAAGTTTAATGATTAAAGGCTAACAATTAACGGTTGACAAGTCACAGAGCTGCAGCTGCAGTTAGCAGGTGATCGATGACACGCACGAGTCAAATTGTGTTCTAGGAAACCTTTTCCAGCGCGAGCGAGCGAAATGGGCGCGATCTCGTGAAGCGTTCAATTCTTTTCCCGCTGAACTGTCGCCCGGGTGCCGCGAACCGAGTCAAGTCGCAAAAACAATGGGGCTGCGCTTAGCGCGGCTAACCCGCCGACGCTGCGCTCGCGCGATATCGCCGTCAGTGAATTTTAAATTCAATTCCGGTCTCGTTCAGAGCGCGGCCGTTCGATCTCCTGGCCGTGGACCCACGACCACGACCATCGTTCGGTTCCCTCGTAGGTGGACCTCGGCAAGTCTCGGCCGAGCTCGGTCGCTCTCGGCAGATAGGCCTGCTCCGACCCCAGACGACCCATGGCGATGGTAGCACACAACTGGTTGTGGCTTTCACGAGGCAGGCACGCCGCGCGCTCTCCATGAGCGTTCCGCTCCGCTCGCACCATTCCGTGTTGCCGCGCCATCCTGTCGATTTCGTCGTACGCGCGTCTCTCGACACGCGTCGCGGAGCACCGGGACATCGGAGGCGGCCTCGAACGCGCGTTCCTCGCGTGTGGGAGTGCCCCTGCGTCGGATATAACGCGCGTGCCGTGCGCGAGCTGTCAAACGGGAGGGCCGGGGCCGGCGCGTTTTCGCGCGGAATCGCACGCGGCCGTGAAAAAAGCCGTCACGTGCACACGCGGGGGGGTGGCCACCCCCGCGTCAAGGATTTGCACCGCGCGAAATATGAACGGCGGCTCGTAACGAGAGTGCAGTGCGGGTGTTCTCGCGTGCGGCCGTAAATATACACGAGTATACAAACGTCACGTGGCGGCCACGATGCTCGGGCGACTTGTGATATTGCTGTTCGTTGTCGCACGGCCAGCCGCGAGCTACTTCAACCTCTTCCTCGGCCGCGCGGAGGTCCGCAAGCTACTGGGTAAGACATTTCTGTTGATCTTCGCGAGGCTCGTAGGACAATGAACAGGCGGGAGTAGGAGAGGCCGATGTACCTGCGTTTAGCCGTTTCGCCGGTTATTGTTCTGCTGCACCGTTTTTAACGAGAAACCGTGAATGCTCCGATAAAGCAGTAATTGCTTTGTTCTCGCCTTTTATTACGGTCTTATTTACTTACGTGTTTTACAGTTAATTAAATTAAGTTAGTTAAACGAAACAATAAGGAAAGTTCATTTATATAATAATTAAGTTTCTTGGAGAGAAAAAGAGAACACGTAAACTTCAAACATAAAATAGATATGTTTCCGCAATGACATTAGCTTTCCTGATTCGTTTCGATTATATACACGTCAGAGGCAGCCAATTTTTAAGCACTGTTGGATAATTTGTTAAAAAGTTACGTCTATCGAATAATGGCTGCTCAAAGTATTATTTTTAATATTTAGATTAACTTAATTTAAAAGTTTCGGAGAACGAGATAAGTTGGAGTATTATTGTTGGGGCGACAGTAAGAGAAGTTTCGCAGCGATACGTACAAGCTTTTGTATGCAGTTCCCTTCGACACATAACTTTAAACTTATCTCGCCTCCGTGGAACACAGTAGTATCTAACGAAAGAGCGAAAAAGGACAATCGTACCACTGTCTCTGCGCAGTAGGAGTTCAATATACTCCAGAGTGATATGAGAATTGATATCGCTAATGGATTTTCGAGGCTTTGGCAGCAAAAAGTGAATCTTTCTACGGTTTTCAAAATTGAAGGCGAACAATTTGTAAAAACTACGAGTTTTACACTAACATATAACAAGATGACACAAAGACAATCATTTGCTTTAGTCGAAGAGAATACACACTTAAAAACTTGCCATACAAACAAGTTGAAAACAGAGTTCATATTTTAAACACTGTTATTTTTCCACGAATATTTGTGTATTGCTGCCCCGTTTGCAATTTTTGAACGTTGAGTTTGAATTGTTTCTCGAACGTCGCTCATGTGTTAAATTAGTGTGTTTTCTTCACGCATGTTACATTCTCTGTAATGCAACGATTAAAAATACGATTTTGTATTTTATAGAGAAGTGGGAATAACATCGCGTAAATGTTAGATAAATTACATGTCATCTAAGGCATCTAATTTTATGGTCCGTGGCGCGATCGTGTTGTAGAGGTAACGCGGCGTAAAAAAATAGAGCTTTAAATAAAAATATCCGTGAGATCCGCAGAGAGATACTACATTCAACGAGCTGCACCGACTGTATCTCGATGGATCTAGAACTATATTTCAGTTGAAGTATATATAATAACATCAATTTCTTCCGAGGTTACGTGTTAATCGTATTCCTTCAACGAGAGCAAAACCTCACACTTCATTCGTCCCCCATTTCTGTGCTGCACGGTAATAACTTCGGGTACGGAAACCGGTATAATTTCAGGTATAAATCCGGTTAGGGACGACTTGAGAACAGGGAAATTGGCCGTCACGCATATCTCGTATATCGGAATTCCCTTTTAAAGCGATCGTTTTCCACTTTGTGGTTATTCTCAACGCAGCACGCGCAATTATCAGATAGGTCTGTTAACGGCGTATTATCGATAGTGATTTAATTCGGACGAGCAGTGTGTTACGCGGCTGCCGTGCGATGAGGTAACAGGGAGCATTGGGATCCGCGTTTTTTTAAATCCCCGCCGCGTCTGTTGTGCCGAGGAACGAAGCTATTGTTGAGAATCTATCCCAAGAAATACAACGCCGAGTGCTAAGTGCGCGCTGCAATTGAGCACTGAACATTAAATAATCGTCCGTCAGCAGCTCACGCCAAGCTCCGAACTACCCGATGAATAATCGTCATTATCGTACACGCAGCTGTTTCATTAACCACACAGCGTAATTGAAGCATACCGCGCGTCGCGATGCATAATCACCGAACGTCAATAGCGGCTGGGTAGAGCGTTGAAATGTTCGCCGCGATATTACTCGTAGTATCAGATATTCGGGATTGTTGCGAGAGAATTCGGAGCCATTTATAGCCGCCAGCCACCTCACACCGACCGAAATACCTGAAAGACGAATAGAAAGAAGCCTTTCACTTGCCGAACGTCAATCTGCTTTTTCGTTACCGTCACACTTTCACGAGGGATTGATTTCATTGAACGACGCTAACTCTTTTTTCCCCACGCGATTCTTCTTTTTATAAATCACTATTGCGGACACGGGGCATTATCGAGGTTAGCGAGTCTGCCTATTCTTTTATCAGTTCGTTAAAACTCTAAAAATATTTTTGTATTCTATTCGAGTTGAAAAAACAATTTTTTTAGAACAAATATTAAAACTGTATAAATATTTGGTTAATATAAATTTTGCTCGGAGGAAGAATAGTTGAAATATACGCGAAAAATTCACGGATATTGCTACCCGAGTCGAAATTTTGGTATTATTTTGACACTTTTAAGGATAATTTACAGCTACTCAGCTGATCTATGCACTTACATAGACCAGCAATAACCTACTTTAATGACATTATATTTTTTTACTTCTCCCTTGAATCTTTAATTCTCAAAATTTACTTTAGCTCCTACTTAAAAGGACCTACTTTAATTGGCTAAATTGGCAAAAGTAGAAATTTCCGACACTCTCAGTTTTAAAGGAGTAAATTTTGTACTTGCAGTTCGACCCCTTTTACTGTCTTAGGTCCTACTAGATAATAGAATTAAAGTTCAACATAGGGCCAAAATTTCGACTCGGGTAACGCAGAAATATATTTAGTCGAAACAATAGCTGGAGAATCTGTATGGAATTACGGTGCGCGTTCAAGCAGCATGTAATAAAGTTTTATATAATGCGCCTGACAAAAGGGCACGCTTACAAGAAATAAATGTCGCGCTCCGTTCTTCGTATACGTAATCTTACATTGCCGCCCATCGAGCGCGATAAAGCCATTTCCTCCTCCGATCTACCCCGGCTGTACCATTCTCACGCTTTCGATCCTCTTTATCGCCATCGCACGCTCTCGTCGGATTTCATTTCGTAGGCCACGTTAGTCAGAAATCGTTGCTCAGCCCGGCGCACACGAATCGTCGCGCCGGAAACGAATAGGGGCCACTCGAGGCGCGGCGGCGCGGACTTTCCAATATTTCCCCGATAACTTCCACGACGGAGGGTAATTCGTTTTCGGGCCGTTGGACCGCGAAAAGCATTCGCTTCGTTGCCTCTTATCGTGGGGCACGGACAGGGATACGGGGTGACGCGCGGGCCCTGCGACACCTGAACCCGTTCGAGGCCGCCCTCGAGGGAAGTGCGTTCGCGCGTGGGATTGCACGTTTCGCCTCTCGATCGGCGAGCACGTTTCGCACGCGTCGGAGTCGTCGACGACGCGCTGACTATACGCGGAAACGCAATTGCAATCTCGCCGTGCGCAATGCAAACCGGATAAACGTGACGAAACGCGGATGTAATACTATACATGCCTCGTACTCCATTCGAGGAAACAGAATTTAATGAGTAAAATTAAAATTTCGCGCGCGACAATGAACTACGATCACGCGCGCTCCTTCTACCAAAACGTGCGTAAAGATGTCATCGTTGAAATATTGATACGATATTTTTATAGGGGATAGGGGGAAATTGCGTATCGACAGTTCTGTGTACGGCCGACAACCCGAATTGGCGCGCAGTTTAAAGTCGAAAAACAGACGAGAGGACGTCATTTTTATACTGTTATTGCGACAAATATTACCACATGCCTCAGTGGTCGAATTGGTGAGACGCTCGCCCAAAGAGTAAGGGAGGTCCAGGTTCAAACCCGGGCCGAGGTAATATTTTCAGCAATAAATTTTCTGCATTGACCGATTAATTAACAAATGTGGCCAGCTGTGGTCGAATAAAATTTGAAATGTTATTATTATAAGTAAAATGCTCATCTTGTGTGGACATAAATAGCAGAACAAAGGTCAAAATTAATAATAACGAGCCGTAAAGGATGACAGTGATATTTATAATCTTTCATGCCGATTCGGCGAGATATCGTGCAAAGTTGCATAACTGTAATGTCGTGGGAGAGAGAAAGAGAATGGCGCAACAGCAATAACGCAAAACGAGCGGTTATACGGCGGGTTGTATTGTTTCCACTTCAATAATTTATTACAACGCGGGCGGCATCAGAGGCGCGACCGTTGAGCGTTTTAAATCACGCAAATGATGCGTTGTAATTAAAGATAAAGATTTATGGCCGGGCACAAAATTGCATGGTTGCAATTGGCCGCAACATTTATCGTAGCCCTGCGTATTAGTATCCGTCATAATAATCTCATTGACCCCGTTGAAGCACGTTTGTTCGGCAAATCATAATGGCGATATAAACTCTACAATTAAATGATGGAGTTATCAAGGTTGTATTATCAGCACAACCTGACGGTATGCGGTTATTGTGCGATAACTTAAATTATCGTGAACTTTCTCTAAAACAGATACTTTCATTTAGATATTAAAGGACTCTGTAGCGAACTGAGTTTCAAGTGGAAATAAATAACAAGGGAACTTAATCACTAACTTTTGATCTCGATTGTTTAAAAAAACTTTTTTGGTGACTTCTCAGCTGTCAAGACGATAAAAGTGATGAGGCTATGCCAAAAGATACGGCATCTAAATATGTATGTGTTCAAAGAGGTCGTAGACTATTGCAAGAGACGTGTTGAAAGCACAAGGTGCACAAACAGCGCACTTTGTAACGTCGCCGCTAATAGAATCGGCAAGGAAAACGCGGCGCGACGTACCGATTTAATGTAAATAGGTATTAATAGACGTTCTAGCCGGGTGGAGTCGCATTCTTCAAGGTTCGCGCGTGGCGTTCGAAGGCGATGCCTGAAACTTTGCGCACTCGGTCGAGCCAGCTGAAGCGACCCGCGAAATTACGTTCTCGTCAATATATGCGGACCCGACTGACAACGTGATAAGTCATTCTACCGGCGTTTTCAATCACGGCTCCGTCGAT